TGTTAAATAGTCAGTAGCAACAATAATATAGTGATTATTTTGCTTAGTAATTGGAAGAGGTCCTACTAAGTCAATTCCAATTCTTTCAAAAGCTCATCCTATTTGGATAGAGTGGAGTGGTTCTTTTCTTTTAGTTTTCACTCATCATTGGCATACTTCACATGCTTGAACGTAATTCTTAATATCCTTATACATTTGGTCCCAATAGCATAAGTTTGCTATTTTGTAGTGCTTCGATTCGCAATTCGACTAATTCAAATTGATCTGACAATTCGGATAAAATACAGATATCCTTATCTGTTAATTTTAAACAGATAGATCTGTAATACATTTCGGATTGAGAATAAGGATTATTCGAATTATAATTCTTAATAGATTGGCACGTGAAACATAAGTAATAGTTCTGATTGGTCAATGCTAACATGAGATTCGATAATGAATGAGAGAAAATTTTGCTTTCTTTCTCTGTGCCATTTTTAACTTGAAAATACTACTTTTTTTCGATTAGTTTTCCAGTTTTTTTCTGGGTAAAATTACTTAATAATTATTACTAGTCGAAAAAACAAAAATTAGGTTATTGAAAAAGTTGTATTTAGAAAATAAGCAAAGCACAAAAACTAAAAAAAACATTTTCGTTCTTAAAAAAATCTGTAAAATTTTAATGTTATGTATAACATTAATAAAGCAAAAAAAATAATAAATGCAGTAATTAAACTTTTCCACTTATTAAAAAACTTTATTTATTTACAACACTTTTGAAAAATAAAAGTTTATTGTGTCTAAGGTTATTAGATCGAAATCATCTTAGCTTATTTCAAATACCAAATGTTTTTTTTTACGTTTTTTTTTTTTGTCTATTTATTTGAGATTTTAATATTATTCATTGCTTCGTTATCCCACTCTGGTGCAAAAACCTGCATTGTATTCATATTTCTTTTTAAGAACAATATTTTACCTACTAAGGCCGGATCTAAGCTTGTTCTTTTAGAGTTAATCAAATTTCCGGCGTCCGAAAATAATCTTTCACTGGAAACTGATGTAGCCGGTATTGCAAGGTATTTTCAGGCAATTCTTGTAAGTTTTGGAAAATTTTTCATATGAATTTTCCACCAGCCCAAAGGATCTTCGGTATTTGGTGCTGATGGTAATAATAGATAATTTGAAATTTCATCAAGAGCCTGTGAATCTGATACTGATTTATCTTTCTTTTTTCTTTTCAGTTGCCGTTGCTGAAGATACTCTTTGTGAGATCGCATTGTAGATTCTGTGTTAGGTGGAGTTGGATGAATTGATAGTTCAGACATTGGTTCTTCTAATTCATTAAATTCATCATAAAGTCTTTGAATAGTTAGTTGCTTTTCGGAATCATCTTCTAGAAAATCTAAACTTTTATTACGTAGATCTAGCAAAGCTACCATCAAACCAAGATCGTTTGGATCGTTCCAATAATTGATAAGTGCATCATAAATATTTTTTTTAATTTGTTCTAAGATACCTGTCGTATCTAACGGATTTTTAATTGAAATTTTTTTTTTTGTAACGTTACTTATAATGTCATCATCATCAAAATCAATGGGCCGCATATCTTCATTATCTGATTCAAATATGGTAGCCTCGTCCAAAAACAGATTATTATTTGGAGGAGTTTCACATGCCAAATCAAAAATCATTTCCTTAATAGTTGGAATAACCTTGCTTAATGTTATATACGTATTTCCTGAAAATTCTCGTGTTGCATTCTCGAATGGCATCAACAAGTCGATAAGTTGGTCCAATAGTTCCCATTCATCATCCGAGAGAAGTATCCTTTTTAATTTTGTCCCATCTTTTTTTATTTCCTGATCCTGTGAAGTATATAAATTCGTCTGAAGCTGAATTATAGCATCCTTTAAAAAAAAAAGACGATTCCAAGAATAATATAGAGAGTTCCAGCGAGTGGTCATGTATTGAATGCAACGCAAAATATCTGAATAACCAAAGTTTTTTTGCACCTCCTCTAATCGTTCTATCTGTTTTTGATATTGAAAGAATTGAATTAGTCTTTTTGTATGGGCAACTAAAATCTCTGCTGGTGCTAGTCCTTTTCCAATTGCTAACTGAAGAGTATGAGCTGAACATGAAAGGCACTTGATCTTTTCGCATCCTTTTTTTTGAATTAATAAAGGAAAAGCTGAGACCATATTACATCCGTTGTCAGTGGTGATTGATGTTATACAATCTCTAAGATTCCAGGTTTCAATACACTTATGAAGTTCTTCAGAAATAGCTCTACTAGTATGCAGCGAGGGAACATACTTATTTTCTAACATTATATCCTTAATTTCAAAAGTTGGAGTAATCCAAGTGGCGGTAATTCCTAGATACCCATGTCTAGCTTTACTGGACCAAAAGTCTGCCGTAAGTGAAATGTTTTCTATATTTTGGGTAAGAAGGTTCTGTAAGTTCTCCTGGTTATAATTGTAACTTTTGGCAATCATAGTTCTGATTTTTTTTTCTCCCGGAATAATAAAGGAAGGATCAAATTCAGCTATTTTTTCTTTATATGCTTCGTCAGTGACTGTAGAGAGAGGCTGGTTTGAACGCAATATCCATTTGAGAAGCACTTCCTCATGTCTTTTTTGAATACATTGAGAATGAGGTTTAACTTTCCGTACAAATTCAGTAATTTTGGAATCTCATGGCTAAAAAAAAAAATTAATATTTTTTAAAACTTCTAATAATTAGGCCGTATAAAGATAATTTTTTGGATCTAATTAGAGGTGCAGGTGAATCGTCACAATAATTCCATAACTTTGTTGTAACGTGCTGTAACTATATTAAATAATTATAAAAAGTTACGGCAAACATGCTGTAACTTTTTATAATTATTTAATATAGTTATAGTACGTTATGGCAAAGTTATGGCATTATTGGGACGATTCATCTGCACTATAACATAAAATCTTGACAACCTGGCATTTTAAAAAATTTTTAACTGCCAAATAAAAACTCTCATCCAGATACAAAATTTGATCTGTTCAGTTATGAGAGCCAATTTGTTATGTTTGTATGGCCTTATGTATTTAATTTTTTTAATACCTTTTTTAAAATTACTACATCATCTTGTGAAACAATCCCGTGACTATCTCTAAGGTGCGTAATGAGATTTCCCGTTGAACTTCCTATATTCTTGTATTTTTGGCCACATTTTTGACCACTTTTTTCATTTATGATTTTGCAAACCCGAAATTCCTCACTATCAATTACTTTTTTTTCAAAATAATCCTGAGTAAATGATGGATTTTTATGTTTATATGGTCTTTTATTTTCGGTTTTTTTGGCTAAAACAAAAATTATAAGAATGAATTGTTTGGCTATTTTAGGATTTCTTATACTAATTTTATTACCTTTATTTTTGCTTTCCGAAGATGGAAAATTAGAACTCGTCTGAATGTTTGGTTTAATAGTTGTTGATGAAAAGGTTTCCATCGAGGTTCCTGAACTTTCTGCAACTTCATAGTTAAAATTACCAAGATAATCATCAAAATCATCTTCTATCATTCCATAAGGCTCCATCATCTCGTAGGGATTCGTCATCTCGTAAGATTCCTCATAAGGTTCCTCGTAAGGTTCCATTATTGCTTTCTGATTTTTACGCAAGATAATTTTAATGAGTTATTTACAAAAAAAGTTTATCAACTTTATAGATCTCAATTCCTTATATTTAGAAAATTGGTCATAACTGCTGTATAAACATCATAATGCCTACATGCGTATTATTTCGCCATTTTTCTGATCCTGATATTTCTAGAATAATGCGCATGTGCGTCTTTATATTACAGCCTAACCTGTTATTTGATCAATTAATCCATCAACGCTTTAATCCAATTCTTGTGCAGATTTGAATAATCTAAATGGAATAATTGACTTTTGTTGTTGATTGTCACAGTATTTATTTTATAATAATTATAGCGCTTTGCAAAAAGATGTGGCCCCTTGATTTTTATGATGATGAACGAGGAAAATTCTAAATTTTCTATTGATTCATATCTTCGATTAGTTAAATTTATATTTATTTGAAATTGGCAAGATTCTTAAAATCTACAGAATCTTCGATTTTTACATGGTATTGTGATCTGCAGAGGTCACATCTTTTTGCAAAGCGAATAATTTTTTTTACTGATATGCCAAGTTAACTATGATTTTTATTTATTTATAAATAATTAAAAGCAGCTAACATGATTTTTATATAAGTTTATATTGCAATAATTAAGCGCATTTGAATTTCTATTAATTAAAAACTTTCAATTTTTTTAGGTAGTAATTATAACCATTAGATGCGTATTTAAAATCAGATTATAAAAAATATAGCGGATAAGTACTGTATATACAGCATATATTTTACACTAAATAATATTGGTAAAATTTATTAATTGAAGTCTATATAATTTCAGGCTATATATCGTTAACCGAGTTATTTAGAAGAAGTTCTATTGAATGTAGTACAGTATCTTAGGCACTATTTTTCAAACATGATATAGAAGAGAATTACTCGATATTTACTTGAAATTAGCGCAACTACTTGTTTTATTATTTTTGCCCATGCGACCTGAATGTATAATTTAAAATAAATTTTTTTTAAAATTCAGTCTTAACAATCGTGCATAAAAATCAATTCATAAGTTATTTGAGAATCAAGCAGGTTGCTTAACTGGAAAATTATTACTATTCATGTTTTATTTAAAGCATCGTGAGAATTTTAATAAAGTTGTACTGGTCTTGCTAATATAAGTGCATATTGGTACTACGTACGTATATATACCTTAATTCGAATTTACTAATTTAATTCGGATTTAACCCAATTCGAATTTCAACTAAATGTATCACAAAGAATCCAAATTTTATTCGAATAGCCTTTAAAAATTAGGATCGAAGCACTACTATTTTGTAGTACATAGCATCTATTCCTAAGTGTCCAGCTGTTGGAGTACTATACATCATGTAGAGAATTGGTTCTACTTCTGTTCATCTAATTACTCGAATTAATTTATCTGGGTTCTTTCAGTTTTTCTTATATAATATTCTGTTTCTAACTTCATAATATCTAGATTGTTTAA